TTGCTTTACTAAAATTATAATTTTTTATTTAAGTAATGATGTAGCGCACAAATTTACGAGTAAAGTAAATGGGCTTATTATTTTCAACAAAATAATTCAAAATTAAATAATATTATTAGAGGATACTAAAATTGTTTTCTTTCTTCCTTTGAGGTGGTAAAAATCGGATCAAAGGGGACAAATTATACAGAAAGGAAATCGTAGAATGAATTTTAAGCAGACGAATTAAACTTATGGCATATTTTTTAATGGTAACTGCGTCTAAAATAAATAAAAAATCTGCGCTGTTTACACAGGCTATGAGCGAACTTAACCTAAACAAAATATTGTTAGAATTTTAATTTACGAAAACATTTAGCATCTAAACTGTTGGTTGCGGAAAAAAATGTTCTTTAAACGAAATAAGCTATTTATTAATATCTCAAAACTGCCAAAATTTCAGACTCATACCACATTTATTGTCTAGAAAAAGAATTATATCAAATTTTTGGAAAAAAAAATTAGTTTTAGATAACGGTTAATTTTAGCAGTCATTTCGTTTTTTTAAAATTCATCTAAGCTATGCCGTGGTAGAAGAAGCAAGTTACAATAGACGAACAGAGAAATTAATGAACCGAGGGACGGGAGAACACAGTTAAACTAGTAAGCATTTTTTTCAAGTTGTTTTTTTGGAAAAGTCCTTAAGAACTACGAAAGTTTATATGTATATACTTGCGGAACGTTAAAACGATTTAATACAAAGTTAATTATAAAGCTTAGCGTTTAATGTTAGAAAATTAATTTAAAGTAAAATTTTTTTAAAGTTTTAAAACGAGGGATAGAAATTACAAGTTTATTATTCAAATTAAATCTTGATAAAAAAAAATTTCAATTTTTAAAAAGTTTTTCATTTATTATTAAAGTGCATTTAATTAGTATTATGATAGATCATAGTTAGTTATTGCTTCCGAAACACAATCAACTATTTATTAATTTTCAAGGTATTAGAAATTATGTAAACATAAAAGTAAAACTGGACTGCAACTTTTTTTTTTTAAATTTCATTTAACAGTATTTATAAATTTCTTAGTATCGGAAGAAAAGTAAAAGTTATTTACATACCTACATTGCTATTTACAAATCTTGCACCTCAATCAAAAAATTGTGTACCTTTAATATTTTCACAGTACTAAACGCATTAATTTGAACACTTTGAATTTTATTTTAATTATGACTTCTATGGCATGTTTTTGAATCGGCTTTGGATTCTAAAACAGATTTTGGTTTGAAATCGTGCAGTTAAAAATTAATAGAGAAATTAATACCGATATTTGAGGTTTCTTTGTCTAACATTACATGAATTTTTGTTCTAGATTTTTTGAAAGGAAATAAATGTTCGAAACATTTTATTTGAATATTATAAAGGTCAATCAATTGAAAATAGTGCAGCTCATAAACTCAAAATCCTGTTACTTTCTTTATTTTCAATTCAGACGTACTGTAATATAAACTGTTGAACTAATTATGTAATTTCATTTTAATGTTATACATTTTTGATATGGCAAAGTATTCTGAATTTATAAAACTTAAATTAAATTTTTCTCTTAAATGTTCAAAGCTTTAGGCGCAAGCTTTGTGTTAATAATAGCTTGTTAATAACTCTTGTTAGAAATCGATCCTAATTATTGTAGTTAATTATGCTTTCTGCAACCAAATTGTTTTGCAAAACAGGTACAAATCAGGCAATTGTGTATACTTACAATTACTGGAGCAAGTTTTATTTTGAAAAAAAATAATATCAAGATACGAGTATATACGAGTAATTTGTACTTAAATTTGCATATTTAAATTCCAAATTTTGGGAAAGAAAATTTTCTTTATTCCGAAATTGTGTTCTAATTCAAATTGTTCCACTAATTTCTTTTTTAGACAGTAAAAAATCATTTTAATTTGTTTTACGTCAAAAGCGTTTTATTCAATTTTGTATTGTTCCATAACCAATTTTGTATTGTTTTGATTTTGTTTTGGAAATACCCAATAATTTTTATTGAATTTTTTTTATTTATTAATTTTATTTTGAAAAAATTTTAAATTTCCCAAAAAATGTTATTGTTATTTATTAAATAAAATTAAACTAATTGGTTTTACGCGGCGGTTTTACTTTTACATACGTACATATGTAAGCTGTTCAGAAGTCAACAAGAAGTGTTTACATATGTATGTTGTTTCGAGAAATATAATCGATAACTTGTTGAACTAGTTTCTTTCAATTGAAAGTTATTAAAAATGCTAATTGGATTAAAATTTCTTTATTTAGCAACTAAGACGTGACTTAGTAGTGAACTGTAAAGTGCCGCCAAACTAATTTGTGAATTATAATGGGAAACAATATTAAATTTATGAAGTGCGGGACTATTAAAAATTATAAATGGAGCCTTGTATGTCTTTTTAGAATTCAATCCACATACATATTTACAGACTCTGATTAGCTTATATAATAAAATTAGTTCTAACGATATATTATGAAAAATTAAAATTTATTTTTAAATCAAATCTAGGTTTCAAACTTAAAATACATTTTCTCGACTTAGACAATTTTTTCCTTAATACTACTATTTATTTGTTTAATGCTATAAGATTATTCAGTGATGTAATTCAAGAATTACAAATTATGAAATTAAAAGTTGTAAATTCGAAGCTTTACAATAATATTCAGATTCTATCTCTATATCATATTAATTAATTTCTATATCTAGTTTTCCACTATTTGCGTTATAGTTATAGTAGATTTAAATTTCTCTTTTTATCATTTGCTATATTGAAATTAATGAGTCGCTACATTTAAATAATATATACATATGTATGTATATGTGCATATATAGAAATAGAATATGCATAAACACGTTATGAGAATAGTAAAACCAAAGCTTAATAAAAATGTTTATGTAAATAAAAATTTATTATTGTCACGAAAAACAATAATAATTCTATATGAGAATTTTTAAGCTCACGCAAACAACTATTAATATCTAATTCTATCAAAAAGAAGAAAAAACGAAAATTGACAAGAAAATATTTCCGTTTCAGCTGATATGTGACATTTATTTCAAAAATTGACAACATAATGTCAAAAACAAACATTTTTCTTAGTTTCTAACTTTTGAATTATAAATTTACCATTATACAAGTAAAACACAAAATATTACAAAAAAATGAATTTATTGTGTAGAATATAAATTCAATTACAGTTATCATAATCCATAAACGTATGACAACTGAATTCTTCTAAAAAATTTCGACATTCAGAATTTTTGATATTCAAAAATTTATCAAAATAATTGAAAATTTGTGATGGAATTGCCAGTTTATCGTTCGGATGTTGAACTTTTAAAATGAAATTAAAAAAATTCCCCCTTTAATAGACGGGTTTTTTTCTGTTTTTTATTTTATAGCTCAAAGTAAAACCACATACATATCTGGCTGTTTATGAATTATAAAATACTGAACTCGAATTGCTCTCAATATAATCGTATTTAAAATTTTTGAACTTATTTTACAAAATATAGCTATATTGAATCACAATTTTTAATTTCAACTAATCACAAAGTACTGAATACTAAAAAGTTTTAATAGAACTTTTATTGAAAAAGTGATTTTCTTAATTTGTGTTTTTGGTTTATTGTACTGCAGCTATTTATGAATGCATGCATGTGTATGTATCTGTGCAGATACAAAAATTTAAATAATAATTACAATAATAGTTTTTTATTTTTTATTCCATTTTTAATTTTGTACGAAGGCTCAATATTCTCACTACTACAGCAATATTTGTTGTAAACCAATATTCAGCACTTTAATAAAATCAATATGTAGGTATGGGTGAAATGATACAAACGAATTGGGTTATTCAATAACTAGGAAAATGCATTCAGTCACAATCTAAGATTTATAATTATTTTATTCAATATAGATAATTTTTAATGCAAAATCGCAAAATATTTATTAACCCTTAAATGCGTGACCGATTTGCTTCATATTTTTGAAACTGATAGATTTTTTTATCTCACGACACGAAATTTTCATTTTGCAAGCCAAAATATAATGAATTACTTAAAATAGTGAAAAAATTTAGAAAAGTCTTAAATTTACCACGTCATTTTGAACCTAAAATTTGACCTATATTGAATTTAAATGAAAAATTACAAAAACGAAAATACATTTTAATTGAAAAATTCATTTTCTTAGTCTTTCAAAATGCATGTTTTACAGCCACACAAATAATTTATGCAACACATTGTGTGAATTTTGGGCATTCAAGGGTTAAATAATAATTCAATCAATATGAAAACAATTTAATTAATAGTTAAAATTAAAATATTTTTTTAATTAAAAATGTTTGCATATTTCTATTAACACCTTTATTTTTGCAAAAACCAAAAATCGTATTTGGCCCCCAGCGATAAGGTGGAAGAAAATAAGATTTTTGTTTTCTATTTTCTCTACTTTAAAAATGGCAAATTTTCAACACCGCTAACTTTTATTTATCAAAGTATTTGAGTAAATTTACGATTTACAATTCTGTATTTAACATACAAAATTTAGAATGTACCTGCAATGTACAGTAATAAGAGAATATAAAATAAACTTTTTTATCATATTGCTATAAAATAAGATAAAAAATGAAAAAAAAAATAAAATAAAAAAAGAAACTATGCAGATGCTTTTTTTGTTATAAAAATAAACATTAATTTTAATAATAATCTGGAATTTCATTCCTACTGTACTATTGTACTGTTATATAATAGTTATAAAGTCAGTGAGGTTATAAAGAATAGTGAAAACAAATTGAAATCGTATTGTAAATAACAGCAAAATGTAGACATTATATACATACAAACATATGTGTATGTATATGGTAGCAGATATTAAGTATGAAACTATTTTGCGAACGGTATTTTTGATATTCTTTTATTTTATTTTTGTTATTTTTGTTTTTTCTTTCAATATCAATATTTACTTACTGTTTTCTCTTTGACTATTTGTTCAATTTCTGATATATCAATAGGAGCATTTCCTTCAATCTTCTTGAATGTATTTGCCTATAAAAAATAAATATTAAAATATTAAAAATATTGAAAATAATATTAAAATTATTAAGAATTTATTAAACATCGAAGAAACAAATTAAAGAATAATAGAAAATAAATGAGAGTAATTTTTTTGCTTAAGCATAACGGTAAAGTAGATGAAAAAAAATGATTTGTACGGCAAATAACTATAGTAGTTGAGTGCCGTATGATTAATTTACAAAATCGGAAATACAAATTGCACGATTTTCGTTACGGTTTTTCTTATAAACAAGCTCAATTATAAGCACAAGTTATGCTTCTAAGCGAATTTTGTAGTCATGTACGTAGGCAATAATTTCAGAGAGATATACAAATGAAATTTAAGCTTACTATAATTTTTGACAACTGTGTTGTCAGAATTAAGTTTTAGATGACAACTTTTTGTACTAAAGATTAAAAATGCTTCTACTGTATTAGTATAAATCCCGATTTTTTTTCGTATGTTAATATCAATTCAAACATGACAATTATTTTGTTTGACATATTTTTCTCCGCACGCCATTAGTTTTGAGACAATTTATCGCAATCATTAATAATAATTGTTGTTTTAAAAATTTGTATTTCAAAATGTATTTTAAGGAAAAAATGAATTATATGTAAATAGAGTCCTCTTAAAGATTTTACATTGTCCAGAGTTGTTTGATTGTGACCAGAAGCTTCATATATGACTTCTACCATCTCTCAATAATAAAGTAATTGAATTTGAAATATGAATTATTTTTCGATTTGACGTTTGGTATTACTTTGACGTTTTTTACGCGTAATAATAAAATTTAAAATATAATAGTAGATTTAATAATGGAAATTGAATATATCTGATAAGTTTAAAATTAATTTACAAAATGCCGAAATTACAAAAATTAGATTCCAAAATAACTTACTGACGAAGTTTAGAATTTAAAGACCAAAAAGAACAAAACAATTTTTTAACTAATTCGATTCTGTATACCCAATTTTAGAACTCATATATTAATTTTAGTTAACTAAAAATTTATTATTTTATATACGGAATTTTTAAAGGTTTCACTTGATATTTAATACTGATTAAGTTTTAAAATAAATGGTATACAAATGAAATGTTAAGTGTATACAAAAATTATAATAACTTACCATGTTACTCGAATTTTCTTTAGCTGACGGTGGTCCATTTGACATTAAACATGGTTCTTGAATTGGTTTCATTGGTGGTGGTAATTCTAAATGTGCTTCTTCTTCTGGTTCTAAATCTTGACCAGAATTTTGATTTGTTGATGATGCCATTTGATTTTCATCATCTTCATTATGTTTTTCAGGTAACTATAAATTTTAAAAATAAATCAATAAAAATAAAATATTCAATAACAAATTATTAAACCATATTCTCTTAGATAAATTACTTGAGGTGATGGGGTTATTAATCAAAAATAATTTTATATACTGAAAATCTTAATACTTTTGAATAACATCCCGTCACTTCAATTGATGTGTCTAACACAATAATATGATGGGTAACATTTCTTATATAAATTGTGTAAAAATAATTAGAATGCAAATGTAAAACAAAACTTACCCTCATGTTCTTTTCTGAATTCTTTTTAATTAACGATCTATCTGATGGTTTATCAACTTTACCTTGTGATAATTTCCTTAATGGAGGTGGTAACCATTTTCGCCTTTTAAGAGAATTTGTTAATTGATTTTTCATTAGTATGAATATTTAATCTTCTTTGTTTTTATTTTAATTATATTTTAAATTTTAAATATTTAATATTGTAATCGAAATTTCTTTTCTTTTTCTTCTTCCCTCTCTCTCTTTCTATTTTTAATACAAATAATTTATTTTATTTATTTTAATTGAAAATTATTATTATTCCATATAACATTACAAGGCAGTGGCTGAATCGCAAGTGTGTACATTGAAATTTTTTTTTCATCCTAAGTATTGAGTTGTTTTTTATTTTGTGTTTTGTTTTTACTTTTTTTGCATTAAGTCATAAAAATAATAATAAAATATAATAAATATTTCAATATATTATGTGTACATACGTACATATGTGTGGAGAACATTATATAATAAAAAAGTAAATAAAATAGTTTGTGCACATATGTAGGTACAAATATGGTAGATATGTTATAGGCATGTGTACATGTAGATAGGAATAAGCAAACGTTTTGTCCCAGGAAACAGAATACAATAGAACTTAAATAGTACCACCAAAAGTATACAATTTTTTTTTTTGTTTATTTACCTAAGCTTTTAAACGCTAAAACTATCATATCTATTTTGAAGTCAGCTAATTGGGTAAGTAAAATATTTACTGAGCTATTTATTGTAGTAATTTTTCTTTTTTGTTTTGTACTTAGTTGAGTACAAAATGATAGTGTTTCCGTTTAGAAGAAAACAGTTACATTTTCATTACATAATTGAATACATACTGTTTCTTTTTAATTTACTTTCAAAAATGAACTTGATAGTTAACGTAAAGTTTTTGACGTAAATTACAGTTAATTCTTTTGCCATAATAATCGTCATGAGAAGAGATGTACGGTCATTAGGAAATGATGTAATTATCATAAATTATCTAAAAATATGTTTTATAAATATCAAAAACCTTTTCAAAAGTAAATAAAATATACAAGCGAAAAAGGATTGCTTGAAAATTTTTGAAATTGATATTTACTCTTATTGGATTCAAGCAGTTGGAACAATTAAAATTTGACATTTGCAGAGAAAACGAATTAATGCAAAACGTAAAATTCTACTACAGCGTTTTAAACCCCCTTCGCTTTCAATTCTTTTTTTTAAATATATCACAATATTTCTAAGAACAAGCATTATGCACTAATGCCAATAACGCAAATATAAAATTGTAATGTTTTAATTTAGATACCATATGAGAGTATGAGTTACTCAGCAACACTGTCATCATTTACTTACTTGTAAGGGTATGATTCTCGAGTGGGTGGACAATGAGGGATTTACAATTAAAATAACTAATACATTAGTTACTATAATTAATTATTAAATTGATTAATCAATACTCGATACTCGAATACTCATATGTACATGTGACATAAAAAAAAAAAATTGTTTAATAAAGCTAATCAAAAACATCTGTGTTGAGATCTCAAGAAAGTTGATAGTTTTGTTAGAAAATTTTCAAATTAAATCAAATCATATTATAAACTATTCTTGAAATAGTGAAGTTATATGATCGAGATTTTATAATTTTTAAGGAAAAGGTATTGTCTAACTTGTAAAATAAGTTTGAACTAAATGTCTCGCATTGTATGTATAAAACTATTAAAATATCTTTTGGAAATTTATAAGCTGAATGCTGATGACTTAACAAATAGACTATAATCAAGCAATTAGTAAAGCTATCATTAAAATATTTTTGATTAACTAAATAGAAGAAATTAGTGTTTTAGATTACTCTTTATTTGTCTCTTTACATTTATATTTAATATTTCAAATTCCTTTAAAAATTAAACATCTGATGTTTCTACTTTCATATATCACTATTTAAATTTTGAAAACATACTGCAATTGCAATGTTCACAATTTGTAAATTATCAAATTTTTTAAAAAATTTTAAACTACATACATACATAAATACTGCAAATACCTCAATTGGATATTACGTTTGCCGAATTCACCATATTCAATGAATCCGCAAATATTTAATAGAATCGTCAAAAGTATAAAAAATTTTGTAGTGATAATCTACTTCAATAACGTATAATTTGACATTCGTAAAAGAATTATTTCATTTATTCTTAAAAGAATTGCCGAATAGATACATTCACCGTACACAATACCAAATACTAGCGAATTCGCCAGCTTACAGAAACTTGAAAAGTTTGCGAACTTACCTATCTAATAAGCCTAAAAATTATTTAGTCATTTTTTCTAAAATTTTCTTCTTAATTGTCGAATTGGACAAATTTTTCTCATTCAGTAAGAAATCAATATAGGTAGAAAACTATTCGTCAACCATTCATAGTACATTATATACATATTTATAATTGTTTGACTTAAAAAAATAGTTTCAACACACGAAAATTAAAATCTTTTCTTTAAACTAGTTTTGACCATTACGGTTTAATCTATACAATTGGAAAATTTTTAAAATTTTTTAAAATATTTTGATAAATCGCGGTTAACATGAAATACTTAAGCTGTTTAGATTTATAAATGAAATGCGATTTAAACAGATTTAATTTTACAATAACATTAAATCGGAATTTTTTAACTCTATGACTGGTTTTTCTTTAAATCAGCTTTAAAATCACTTAAGGCAAACATTCCCAGTAAAATAATTCAAACGTTTTAAACAAGTTATTTCGTAAATCAAGATTTTAACAACAATATTGTTATTAAACCCAAAAATTTTTAGTGAAATTCATATGAATTTTACGAAATTATGCGAAATATCCAATTTTGTTATATAGTTTATCTAACTGGCATGTGCTGTATATTTACAAGTGAGGTTATAGACTTTTTTTAAATATCAAATTAAATATCACATGAAATTGTTTATGATTTAGTACAATTTCCAAAATAAAACAAAAATTTTATTTTTTTTCTTTTGCGAAAATTTATTTTTAGAATTTATGTGCACACTTATCTGATTATAATAAAATTATAATTAATTTTGTAGCTTTCACGGAAATTACCTTTGATTCTATTTGTTAAGGTTTTTTTTTTAGTTTGTTTGTTGTACCTATTTTACTTTTCGTTTAAGTGAAAGCTCGTATCTTTCATTTCAATGTGTAAAGCAGGAGGACACCCCATAATATGTAACAAAGTACTGCAGTTATAATTTAATATTTGTATAAGAAAATTTTATGGAATTTTATTTGTTTGGAATTTGTTATCGGCATACTTCGAATAAACACTACTTTTTTCCGGATTTTAAGTTTGTTTGCATATAAATTTGAATTCTGACCCGTTTTGTAAATCTAATGTTTATTTGACTTACTCAGCAATAAAATATTAATAATTAGAAAAAAAGTGAAATCTCAGATTAGTTGAAATTGGATAATGAGAATAACAAGCTGATTGATATCCAAACAAAAAAAATATTCTGCTTAGTTTTGATAGTAGTTAGTAAAATACAATGTATCTGCAATAGTACTTTAACGAATAATTTTTAGTTGCAAAAGTTTTGTGATTTAAAGATTTTTATAAATTTAGAGTTTAATCAGATTTACGTATATTTTATTTGCAAGTTGCTTTAACCCTTAAGTAAAATTAAACTACGCTTGGCTAAAAAAATTACAATAACACGATATGCACAAGTTTATGAGAAATACTGCGCGACAGTGCCACTTCAGCCGCAGTGAGTTAGAATTGGCAAATTCATTGTAAAATTTACTGCAAGCTTCTTTTTAATTTCCTCGCATTTCGCTCTTTGACAGTTTTTTGACTTTATTTTCTTAAATTGCAACAAATTCAAAATATTTTCAAAATGGTGCCTATTATATATTTTTAGCACTTTTCCAAAAAAATTTTGAAAAAAAAGTGCTTATTAGTTTCACTCTGTCCGTCCGTCCGTCCGTCCGTCCGTCCGTGTGTCTGTTTACAAAACTTCTACACCCTTGAAGATAGAAAGCTGAAATTTTGTACGTACATAGATTTTTACTAGAAACTTATTTTCGTGGAACAAAATTTTTACCTATCTCCCCCCCTTTAGAAGTTATACCCCCCCAAAACCCTAAAAATGCCATTCTTTAACTATTTAGTGCAATGAAACCATAAGGATTTTTCAAATTTTGCAAACGCAGAAAGGCAGTGGCTTACTTCCCCTAGCGGGGTATACTAAAGGTTAACTTTAGAAAAACAAAATGGCCGCTCAAATTTACCGTTATCTAAAGTCCGTTTTTTCCAAATTTTTGATGTCGTTTATTTTCTAGACCCCAGCCTGTAGAAGCTTGAAATTTTATGGGCTTTTAGACATTAACAAATAGTTCATTTCGTTAGAAGAAAATTTTTTTCCATCTCCTTCCCCTCTCAAGTTATGGCCTCTTGAAATTTGTAAAATTTGAATTTTTGACACCTTATATTTCCGAAACCGCAAGCTTTTTCAAATTTCTATAAACATAAAAAGCTAACGGTAAATTCCATGAAATTAAAAAATATAATTATTTTTCTTAACTCACATAATTAAACCTTAAAATCGAGCATTATGTTAACCCCTTTTTATATTAATTTTTGCTTTATTTCAAACACTGCATATATGCGTCATCCTAAATATATGCAATTCTAGAAATAGTTTTGTATATGAATGAAAATAATTTTAATAGTTTGATAGGTATACATAGACTGTATTTAAAAGCAGAATTTTCACTTGCTGAAGGGAAAAGTGCTACAATACAAACCATTGGTTTGACCCAACTTTATTATTCCTAAATTTAGATCAAAAATTTTTTTAAGAATGGCAAGCCTGACTATAAAATATAACTGCTGAATATATCAATACAGTAAGTATTAATGAAATTCGAAGTTTCGGTACTCCATGTGTACATTCCATAATAAACCATTTCGGTACTCCATAATAAAATTATAACTTATTCGGAGTAAAGAACGTTAACCTATTACAGAATATTATAAAAACATTTTTTTCAAATAATTTAAATTTACAATTTAAAAGTAGTAAAAATACTACAA